TCCCGGGCGCGCTGTGCCTGGCGGCCGGCTGCCCCCCGAGGGCAGCAATGCCTCAGCCTTCCTCCGAGCCTGGCCTCGGCGGTGGATGGTGCGGGGGGGGGGCCTAGTTTTGTGAAAGCATCTGTGGAATTGGGACTGCCGTGATAAATCCTCCCTGCAACCCCCGTGTGGAGTCCAAAGAGCCTTTTTGGGGGTGTATTTTCCAGAGCTCCCCGTAGGATTGTCACCGGGGCCCCGCATCGCCTTATCTGTAACCAGCCCCGGTCTGACACGCTGCAGAGACCCAGCTTGTAGCTCACCCTCACCTGGCGCAGGGACCCTAGTGCTGGGGTTAGGATGTCCCTCTCCCAGCCTGTCACCGCTCCTGGCCTCACACTGCTGCAGTCCCACGGTGGGGGGGTACCCCTTAACCACAGACGCCCCCAGTCTGCGTCGCTGAGCAACTCCTGCCCATCCCAGGCTTTCCCTGCACCCCATCCTCCCCACAAGCGCCTTCCACCCTTGGACCTCTCTCGGTCACTCGTTTCCTGGGGGGGGGGAAATGCTCTGGGACAAGGCTGGGTCCACACAGGTGGTGCTGCCACGCTGGTGCAGGGCAGCGATGCTGGGGAGACACGGGAGAATTCCCCTCTCCATCGTCAGCATAACGATGCCGGTCGTTTCACCCAGCGCTGCAGGCTGCAGCCCCAAGTTTCTCTCTCTGTATTGTCTTTAGCTCCCTAAAAATGTTGCCCAGGCAGAAGTTGCCACTTCTGAGCCATGGGATGCGGGAGCCCCGTGCAGGCAGCTGGGGGAGCCCGCTGTCCCCAGCAGGCAGGGAAGGCTGTCCCTAGCAGGCAGGGATTTCTGCCTGCACCTGGATCACGTAGCAGCTCCAGCCCAGCAGCCAGAAGCCACAGCAGCCTCGGGCAGGGCCCGGGGGTGTCACGGGCTAAACGGATCCATGGAGAGCGGGAAGGGAAGCGAGTTGGAGCCAGATATTGCAGCATCGGGGAAAGGATGGGGAGCAACGATGAACCGCAGCCATTGCCACGCTGGGGGGCTTCGGGGAGCCAGGAAAAAGCTGTGAGCATCGTCCTCCTTCCTCAATCTACCCAGCTCAGCTCATCCCAGGAAAGGGCAAACCCCGGCGGCTCTATCTCCTCCAACTTAAGAGATACCATCCAGGAAGGGAGAGAGGAGCTAGAGGTCGGGAGGAGAGCTCTGCCAAAGCAATTGCCCCTCGGGGTGCCACCCAGCACGGAGCTGAGCCCAGAAGCAAACAGCAGGGGGGTTTCCAGAGACACCCCAAAACCGCCCTCACCTTCCACCGTCGCCTCACGTGAAGGGGAAACCCCAGCGCCCCTGGAAAAGCCAGGGAACGCAGGGTGCCGCTGAGGGGGAAAGAGCCGGCGAGGGGAAGCCCGCGGGGCTGGAAGGTTCTACGTGGTGGCCTTCCGCCACGGCGTCACCCCTGTGTCAACGAGGAACAAAACAAGCCCGGAGCAGGGAGCTGCCGTCAGCCAGCGGCTCATGAATGGGCCTAAGAATAGATTTCCTGTTTACCGAACGAGAAATCGCTTCTGGGGCAGAGGGCACCTGGGTGCTATTTTTACCAGCTCCTGCCCACCCCCCTCCCGGCCCCCAGCCACCCTCGGGGACCGCTGCCCCGCTGCAGCATCCACGTGCGCCGCGGGAAACGGGCCGC